GTCACTTAGATTTTACAAATACGTGAGCCGTTCACAGCCCGGCACACGTATTTGTAAAATCTAAGTGACTCGTACAACATGGAATTCATATAAAACGGAATTATCAACAGTGTTATAGGGAGGTCAACTGGGTATTTTACTCCTATGAACATAGTCTACTGCTCCGATAAGGTCATTCATAGCTGTATTTGTATCCTTCTTAATATATTCCTTAAAAACTAGGCAAAACAGTATCCAAATAAGTACAGTACAATACTATCGATCCTGTGGTACGGGCTACCAAAAATTTTCCAACTAAATATTCTCTTTTCGTTAGAAAATTATTCCCGACGTTTAAATATAAATATAAATAAATATATTTAAAAAAGGAAGAATAAAAGAATATATTTTAATATATATATATATTTCCTGAGAAATGATTGAGGATGTAGACAATAGGCAGGTGGCAGCGGTGGTGCTCTTTTTTACGAATGAAGCCATCAGATTAGAGGAAGGTCTCCTCGGGAGGAACGTTTGCCATGAAGATTTGGGATGAAAGAAAAGAGATCCCCGTTTCCGGCGTGCTTTCGTTTCGACTGTATTATGTTTTTTTCTCAAAATGACATTCATAAAAGCTCAGCATCGTCCATTTGCGGGGGGGATCATCGCCGAGTGTTGTAACGATCGATTTAAAGATGGCGAGTTTCCAAAGGGACCATTGGTTCTTGGTCGTCCTACGATGCCTCTTACTTTTTGGTTTAATTGGAAAGGAGGCGGCCGCCGAACGAAACAAATTTTGTGAGTTCTTAAAGTATATTTTGCTATTTAAATAACGTTTTCGGCTTATTTTTTCTTTTTAATTGCGAAATTTCCACGTGAGCCACCCGAGTTTTGCCGGTTACGTAATTAAACTACGTTACGGATCGTTTTTTACACGAAAATACGCTCGCGCTCACTCGAAATTACTTAAATATTATTAACGCGATTAATTTAAAAATTGAGTAGGGGACACTTCGAGTATTACGTAGGCAAACACATGCCTTTTTGACGTCGTAATAATCCCCTAATTACGTCGTCCAAGAAGTTAAAACCTTTGCAGATATACGAATTATTTTGTGGTGTCTGGGGAAAAAAATAAACTTTGAGTGCAATCTTACGTCATCAGACTCCCCCCGCCATCCCATCTTCAGAAATCTTCGGATCCAAACGAATTCTTCCCCCCCCTGTAAGTTACTGGCGTAATACTTGAGTACCCGACCCTACACGGAAAAGTATTGTAATTGCGAGGCTTTACTGTATAGCACGTAACCGTGAGGAAAAGCCACATTTACAGGAGCTAAAGTCGTTTGAATTTAATATTTTTTCAATATTTTAAAAGCAATAATTAACTTTTATGTGCCTCTTAAAGAGAAGTAATAATAATGTTTTATTTATTTATTTTTGGTTATAAAATTAAATTACAGTATAAAAGTTTAATTATAAAATATAAAAATAATGTGGCAATTTTATAAAATGTGAGATTGCTTTATGGTTTATGTATTTTCCACCATTCCTACTCAGTTTGAATTGTTTGTTGTGTCTTGAAACCTTCCTTTTCTGTGCTTTTCTTTCCTCTTTTTCAATCGGTGACCGGCCCTTTCTTTGGGGCGGGGCGCTCTTTCGAGAGTGGATCTTCGTCCGATCCGTCGATTTAAGTTCGAATGGAGTTAATGCCGTTATTTGGATTCCTTTTCTTATCGAAAGGATTTATTTACTTCACTTACGGAGGATCTTCTGACCTGTTTTGGAAGATCCTTCATAGCCCGGGAAATTGTTCATTTTGGCGTCTTTTGCTTAAATCTAAAGAAGCAAAATTAAGTGATGGAGAGCACTTGGAAGAGCGAGAAAAAGAAAGTGCAGAAAGGAAAGGTTTCAAGATGCAACAAATAATAATTTATATATTTTAAAAATTATGTACTACTCAATGATTTGAAGTTTTTTCTAATGAAACAAACAGCCAGATTCTTATCGAGCTACTATGAGGCTAATTAATTAATTGGATGTTAAGCAATTTGGACTAGAGATAGACAGTTAAGCTTTTGTCTTGTATTAAATTAATTAAATCTATTTCTAATTATTAAACTTGTGATATTCAAGAAGAGATCAGCCCAGAGTGGGACTTGAACTTGTAACCCTTGTTTATAGTGCATATGTTTCCAGCTTTTCTTCCAAAATACAGTCGACCCCCCATAACACTGTTGATTATTCCATTTTATATGAATTCCATGTTGTACGAGTCACTTAGATTTTACAAATACGTGAGCCATTCACAGCCTGGCACACGTATTTGTAAAATCTAAGTAACTCGTACAACATGGAATTCATATAAAATGGAATAATCAACAGTGTTATAGGGGGATCAACTATATTCTAAGTGTAGTTATTTTTAATTATTAAATTTAACACAAAGCGGCAACCTGTCTCTAGTCCAAATTGTTTTAAATCTGCTTAATTAGTAGCCTAATAAGAATCTAGCTTTAATTTTTGACGAGTAACATTTATCAGGTTGTTTATCTTATTTTTTTCTTTTATAAGTTAGATAAATACTACTAAATCTGTAGTACAGAATACTACAATAAGTTAGATAAATACCACTAAATCTGTAGTACAGAAATTATAAAGCTTTGAATTAGAGTTTGTACAAATTTCAATATTGATATTATATTCACAGACTTGTATAATGGAAATGCTTTCATTATATAAGTCTATCAATATTATATAATAGAAAAAAGATTTTTTCCATTATATAACATTATTATACATATTGATATACTTAAATTGCATAATGAAAAAACATTTTTTTTTCTACTATGTAAGTATATCAATACATATAATATCATTGTTAGACATATTGATTTTACAAGTATGTAATATTGATACTAAAATTAAATATATGACACAGCAAGAGATGATGATGTTCTAACAATTTTAATTAAATTAAATTGTTTGTGTTCACTAATAATTGACTGCATTTTAAACTACGGATGTATCTATTAAGTTTGGCAGGAGAATTTGAAAAACTCTTTTGGCAGAACGGAGGCAAGAAGGGCAAAGATGTTCTAGATGCCAATGAGGGCACCAAAATGAGCCCTCAGAACTAAAAGCTTGAAGAATTCTTTTTGTAATTAATGTCAAATTGAGTGCCGGATATAAGGTTTGCCTCGGGCACCAAAACTATTTGGCACGGCTCTGTGGCCAAATAGTTTTGGTCAAAGGGCCTGTGGCTCATTCCTCCTTGATCTATACAAATTTTTGCATCTCTAGTAATTTACATATGTCCTCACAAAATGATCTCTTTGAAATGCCATTTAGTTTCCTCCATATAGTCCCAGATTTCAAAAAATTGACTGAAATTGTCTCCATTTTGAAGCAAATTTTAATTTGGGGAACAGGAAGTGGTCAGTTGGGCTCGTCAGACTGTTGGGAGCTCCTGTTTACCAAATTAAAATTTGCTTTGAAAGGAAAACAACTTCAGTGAATTTCAGAAATATGAGAGGCTGTACAAAGAGAATTAAACAGCATAAATTACTAAATACATAAAATGAAAGACAAATACCGAAAAATTGTGCTACTTAACTATCGGTACAGATGCCTTATCATATTAATTCAGTACAATATTACTTGAATGAAGTAAAAGCAGAGAAAACTATATCTATAAAATAAGTGTAAAGTGTGGCCATAATTAAAATTTTCCTATTCAGAGCATTCTGTAGCTGCAACCAATAAGCAGATTGGTACCAAAATTTGTATACAGACTACACAAAGGTTGCAGCAAAGGATTTTACACGAATAAAGGAATTTAGTTTGAAAATTTCCACTAGCATGCACTTTACAGGAAGATACACAAACAACAAAACAGTGAAAACACATTTACTCATTCCACAAGAGACGTGACTTTCTACAGAGGTTGTTTACTGACGTAAGGAATTTAAGTCTGTCAAAATTGCGACACTTTCACAATAAATCACATGCACCAATCGTAGCAATAGTAGAATTAGGAATACTTTTGGACTAAATGTTTTTTTCAAAATCATTTTCTACAGTCTGTGTATAAATTTTGGTGTCAATTTTCTTTTATTTAAAATAATAATAAATTATAAATATTTGTTTCCATTAGTTTAAATAGTTAATAATAATTCTCTTCACTTCTTTTTCTACACAATTTAAGAAAAAGCAAGCTCAATTTACAATGAAAATAGATTAGAACAGTAAATAAATACCTGTTTAATTACATTGTAAACAAAACTTGCATTTTCTTGAACTTTGTAGCAAAAATATGGAAAATTATTATTATTATTAACTATTAAAACAGAAAAAAAATGCATGGAATTTTAACTTATGCCCAAATGTGTTTTTCAACCTCTCGTGATTTCCTGTAAATAAAATTTGTTTAATCTATTAAAAACAAAATGAACAGTTAAGTGTGAATGAAAATATTTTCAGGATGATTGTATTTTATCAAATCAAAGTTGTGTGTTTTTTTATAAAAGAGTGGTGTTTATATACAAGAGTTAATAAGTGGTAAAAGAAATATAGATAATGGATCCTTGAGGTGCAGGGCATTATAAATATGTTATAATACAATGTCAATTCACGCCAACGTTTATTATATGATTATAATACTTACGCGTTGTGGCGTTACAGGGTACAGATATCCAGAAGTCTTGTTTGTGAGATTTGTTTTTCAGTTTGCAAATTTATGAATGGCTACAACTAGGAAAATATTTAATTTGCACACCTAGGCTTTACAGTTGGATTTACAGACAGGTGGCAGTTTTTCTCTTATCATTCCTTTTGGTTCTCAGGTGTTTTCAGAATGATATTAAATAAAATTCCTTAGAAATGTATCTCTAGCACAATTACCACCTAGAACAGATTGACTTTATTCTTGAAAGTTTAATGACTAGACAAGTTTTTTCTCCTGTAAAATAAACATACTGGATGGCATATGTTTCCAAAACCATCCTGTATCTACATTTGAAAATTTGTTTTGCAGTAATGGTCTCCTTCATTGATAATTTTTTTGTAGATGAAAGGGAATATGACAGTCATTTTGCTATCAGCTGACACTGCTCCTGCTATTATTTTGATGGCTTGCATTGTGGTTCTAATCTTAAACTATCCAATCTTGCTTTAAAACTCATTTATTCTCCATAGCCTTTCCTCTACTCCTCAAACATGGATCAGCATGATGGAGAGATCACTCTAGTTTTCCATTCATTATACCAGATATTTCTCAGTTTTCTAACACAGAATGATATATCCTCGTTACAATATTTATTTTATCACTATCAATGCAGTCTTCCCAGGGCTGTGGAGTTGGAGTCGGGAGGAATTTCTGGCCGGAGGAGTCGGAGTCGGAAAAAATGTGTCGACTCCAACTCTGACTCCCACATTTTAAATTTACTTTAGTTTTTT